ATACTGCTATAACTTTATTCATAAAGCTGTCTCTATACTTGAAATTATTTTCTTGGAATAGAATCCCAGAAATAGAATGAATGGCCAAAGGGCATGAATCGTTCGAGGGGATCGATATTCATGGCCAACTCCTGTCCAAAATGATTCATTTGGAGGAATTTACATCCCCATCCAGTGGGCAATTAGGCATATCCTTAAAAATACTGAAAAAAATATTATTGATTAAGACAAAACAAAAGCTTAATAGAACAATAAGTCATGTCCCTTTAATTTGCATTTCTTTGATAACTAGAGACATCACATACTTTCTAGAACGTTCATTTGTCACTTCCTTTCTTTAGTCACAAATGTATAAAAATGAATGACAAAACCTATCTGGTGGAAATAGATGTAAATATTTCTTTTAGCTCTGGATGAGAGCTCTGGTTGGTAGCAGTGTGAATACATAAACATGGAAAATGAATTGTAAAGAATATGTGTAACATCGGTGGGAAAGTTTTATCAAGGAACTGTCTGGGTGTTCGCTCCCGTGTCCCTTACGTTTCTCTGGGTTGACTATAGACGCCCCACGAAGACCCTGCTCACGGCAGATCCCACAGAGACCTCCACCCGAAGACCTCACAGGCCGCTCCTTACAATGAGGTGTTGACGGAGAGGAAAATGAGGGTCTAGTGCAAAAGGTTAAGGAATCATCAAAAGCATAAGAGCATCGGCTCTGGACAGTAGCTCAGGTGGCTAGAGCACTGTTCTGGTACACCAAGGGGGTCGGCACCATCTCCGGTCAGGGAACGTACAAGACACAACCAATGAGTGCACAGGTAAGTGGAACAACCACCCCCCCCCCCCCAATAAAATATAAAAATTTAAAAAACATAAGGGCATCTAGGAGAAAGCTTAGCTGAAAGTTTCCAACTTTAAGCCAAGATCCAATGGAGATTTAATTAAGCTGGTTGCCATACCAGGTGTGAGTAGCTCAGGTGGCTAGAGCACTGTTCTGGTACGCCAAGGGGGTCGGTACCATCTCCGGTCAGGGAACGTACAAGACACAG